CTCATCAGCCAAATGGGAATGATAGCCCCTTGTCAGATAATGCTGGAAGGAGCCCAGGGTGATAAGGGCTGTGGAAAGGGCTCCTAGACTAGAAAGTGTCGAGTCCCAGAGACTGGAGATAATGACAATGGTAAAGGGCCCTGGCTCTGGAGCTTTCAAATCCTAGCACTGCTCCCTACTGGCTGTGTGACCCTTGCTGTGCCTCAATTTCCTTATCTGTACAATGGGGAAACAGCGGTAGCCACGCTAAGGGGCTTTGTAGAAGAAATATGAGTCATTATACAGAAAGAGCTTAGAAAAATGCCAGGCCCCTGGTATGCGCTCAAGAAATGTTAGTGACAATAACGATGAAGAAGGCAGAGGCTGTGTGCTCCAGGAGGGCAGGAACCCTCTTGCTCTTGCTTATCACATCCCAGTCTCTGGAATATTGTTGTGAAGGTTCATGGAATTCACAAACGGAGCAGGCTGTGCTCCTCACCCTGCTAATCCCTACACTTAGGGCCTCTCTTCCATGCACACTTGCTACCCCTTCAGCCTGTCACCCCATCCAGAGGAGGCACTGATGTGGGCATTCCCTGGGATGAGGGGCTCTTCCCAGCCAACGAGACTCCTGGGCTTGGCTTCGCAGAATCCCATTCTCCTTTCCTTCCTTCTGCTCCTTTCCTTCTTTCATCCAACACTCACTGAGGTGTCTCCTTTGTACATGGCCTGGTGCTGAGAATGTAGAGATGATAAGTTCCTGCCTCTTGTGACATGAGGGAGAGAAGCTAGAAGACTGAGAATCACCATGCAGCGTGATCAGTAAATGGGCAGTGGGAGCATGGGGGCTGTGGGAGCATGGGGAGCTGTGTTCCCATGGGGGGCAGAGGAGACAAGGAAAACTTCCCAGAGGAGGTAAAAAACGAGTCAAAGTTTAAAATATGAGGTTTGTGTCAGGTAAAGGAGGAGCAGGAAAGCTTTCTACACAGGGAGAACTACATGAGAAAGGCCTGGTGTTGAGCAGGCATTATAAGTAGACTGAGGCAGAAGTGGGGAAATGCAAGAAGTGAGACATGAGGCTGCATAAGGGACTGGGGGTTGAAGGCCTTGAAGGCCAGGCTACGGAGTTGGGACTTTTCTCCTGAGGGCACTGGGGAGTCAAGAAAAGGTATGGGGGTGGCAGGAGAGTGGAAGGTCACCCTTGCTTGTCTCTATTCTATTTCACCAAGCATCAATCTCTGTTCTCTACTGCCCTGAAACCTGCTGAGCATGCTCCCACCTCAAGGCATTTGCATGTGCTGTTCTCTTTGCTTGGAGAGGAAAGGGTGAAGATTTGCATTCAGGGATGGGATGGGCTTGGACTTAATATTGGATTCAGAGTGAGGATCTGGTGTGAAGTTCATGTTTATTTGTTCTGAATGGGCCTCATTCTGTGACCTGCCAGATGACCTTGGTTTCATGCTTGAGTGTCCTGGAGGATGGACAGATCTCTTGGAAGCATATATGTGGCTGATGGGGATCGGGCTCCAAGTATGGGGTTGTGGGGCATTGAGGAGACATCATGTATCATTGAGAAAACCTCTGAGGGGCCTGACTGGGGCCTCGTAGAAGGGGTAAAGGCACTTGGTGGGTGCAGTCAGTGAAAGCCTAGAAGGTGGGAATTATCCCAGTTTCCAGATGAGGAAACAAACTAAGGCTCAAAATGGTTAATTTGCCCAAGCTAGTGATGAACAAAGGCAGGATTTGCATCCAAGTCTGCTGATTTCTAAGTTGCTAGAATTCCTCTGGCATCAGCTTCTGATGAGATCAAAACAGAGTTCAAGATAGGTGGGCTGAAAGGTGGGGCTGGACAGGGCGGCAAAGCTAATGATCTCTGCCAAGACAGATGCCTTGGACAAATGGGATAGCTGGGCCTGGGATGGCGGCCAATTCCTCCAGCTGTAAAGGTGGCAGCTGGGGATCCAAAGAGAGAGAGAGAGAAAGTAAAGCCCTCCAAAGAAGTGGGAGGTGGCGGGGTTGGGTGAGGGCGAGTCTGCCCTCTTGGGTGAGGCCTGGCCCCACGTACACCATCCACCTGTGAATAGCACCAGATTGAGTATCTGCCTCCTTCTTCCCCTCCTCCCTTTCTGCCCTCCTGCCCTCCTTCTCTTCTTCCTCCACTACCTGGCCTGGCCTACGCCTCAGTGCACCCACTCAATGGGCCTAGTCTAATCCCCTGACATCACTACCTGCCCAGCACAGGTCCTGCTTGGCAGCCATGGCAGCCCCCAGCCTTGGAGATCCAATTTAGGGATACCCCACCTCGGAACCCACTTTTCCCTCAACCTCTTTCCTCCTCAACTCACAATACATATTGAGGACACCCCAGATCCAGTCCCAAGCTGGGAAGAAGGAGTCTAGGATCTGTCCTGGTCTTTCGGTGTAACTCCAGGTAAGTAGCTGCCCTTCTCTGACCCCAGCTAATCATAGCAACCTATTTTGACTTCTTCTCAGTACTCAGTACTCAGTGCTCGGGGCAGGGGTCTGTTGCTTTAGGAAATTTTTAAAAAATCAGTTCATACATTTATTGTCAGTCTCCCCCACTGGACTGTGCGCCCCATGAGGAAGGCACCTGGCTCACCTTATTATCTACCCTGGTGCCAGCACACAGTGGGGCTCCATCAATATCTGCTAATGGCATGTATACATGAGTGAATGAATAAACAGATGTATTTCCTGCCTTAGCAGGAAGGGTGTGGGCCTTTTCCTGCCACACTAGCTCCAAACAGGGGAGGAGGGTAGAGCAGTATTTGAGCCATCAACTGGATGAAAGCGGGGCAGGGGTCTGACAGACCATTCTCTGACTCAGTAGGTGGGCAGGGGCTAAGAAATGAACAATGATCTCTAGTGGAGAGATTGAGGAAGCTCTGTAGAGGGATCATACCTAGCACCTGTCTCTCCACTCTCCCCTCTGCTATAAGGCTTTGGGCAGGGAGGACCTCAGATGTGTGTCTATGTATCTGTGTGTGCTGTGCCTGGGCAGATGGCAGCCACTGGCCCAAGATCTCCCAGGATAGCAAAGACTGAGACATAGCTAGATCTCAAGACTCCTGACCCACAGCTGCATTTGTGTCTGTGTGCACACATGTGGCCATGGTGTATAAACACCTATGTATGTATGTGTCTGCTCTGTACAGGCACCTCTGGCAGTGCCTCCAGCAGTGGCTATGCATTCACGTCTGTGCATCTGTGTGGACACATGTGTACTTGTCTGTACGGCTCCTCCTGTGTAATGTTTGTAGGCCTGACTGGTTGTATGTGATACAACATTGTGTAGGTATGGAGTGTCAGTTCCATGAGGGCAAGGATTTTTTTCTGATTTGTTTCCTGCTCTATCCCAGAACCTGGAACAGGGACCAGCACATAGTAGATATCAATACACACTTAAGTGAATGAATGGATGAAAATGTGTTCACATGTCTGGTGTGTGTCTAGGTACTGACTCGTGTTTAGATGTGTGCATGCTCCTGTGTCTGAGGGTGCACTTGGGTGTGGGTGATGTTGCTCACAGGCCAGCCCTCCTGTTCCTTTTCCAAACTCCTCGGGAGCCAGGGCCCAATGCCTGATTCCCTATGGGGCGGAGCAGGGAGCCGCCTCCTCATGGGAAATTGGATCCCAGGACGTGCTGAGCTGCAGGGAGCAGGGCGGCCCCTTTGTCCCCCATAATCCTTCCCTGCCCTTGCCCCCTCCTACCCAACAACCAGGGTTTAAGGTTGAGTTTAGGGGCTGTCGAGGACTACCATGTCACTTCAATATCTCCTTCCCTGCCTGTCACCTGCCTCTGGGGTTTCTGTACCTCTTCCCTACCTCCTCCTGCTCCCCTCCCCGTGTGACTACTTCCCTCCCTCATGGGTGGCCCTAGGGCTCAGCCCCAGATATAAAGCTATGAGGGACAGGATGAGTGCCCTAGAATGACCCAGAGGCTGTGGAGAGGAAGGAGCCAAGGAAAGAGCATGAGCTGCCGGCTGGGTGAGTGAGGGAGACAGAGCACCAGGGCCCAGAGATCTCAAGGGTAGGGGGTCCTGCCTGAGCCCCCTGGCCCAGCTAACTCATGTGCCTGGCTGCCTTTGCATCTACTGGGAACCTCCAAATTCTTACACACAGAAAGCTTCATTCATTCATTCATTCATTAGAATAATAGTTATTGAGTGCCTATTTTGTGCTAGGTAGTATTCCAAGCATTTGGGGAGAGAGCAGTGAACAGACAAAAATCTGTGGTCTCATGGAGATTTCATTCTGCGCACAGTCAGTACATGTAATAAGTAAATTAGAATGCCAGTGTGATAGAAGGTAAATGCAATGGTCCAAGTTTGTTGAGTGAATGAATAAATGAATAAACAAATGAATGAATGAAAGGGCCTTCATTTTCAGCCTTCCCTCAGTGCTGAACTTCTGGGAACTCAAACGTAGAAAGGAGAACAAAGGAGGCCATCTTGGTTTGCCTCTCGTCTCCATCGCTCCCTGCTGGAAATCTTAGGTGACTCCTCTCTTCTCTGAGCCTCACACCATTGTTGGAAACATAAACTGGGCTCGACTTTCGAAAGAACAATTTGGCAGCATTTACTCAAATTTAAAACGAGCATACCTCCAATCCAGATATTCCCACTTTCAACAGTGCCCAAAGAGGCTGGAATGAGGTTGTTCATGGCAGCATTCATTCATTTATTCATTCAACAAATATTTATTAAGCTCTGTGCTAGGTGCCAGGGAACCAACAGTGAATGAACCAGGTGAGGTTTCTTCATTCCTGGAGCCAACATTCTAGAGGGAGAGAGAGCAACAAGCACATAGACAAATAAACGAGGTAGTTGCAAATAGCTAAAGTCTCTGAAGACTTTAATCAGGGAGAGGGAAGGGCTTTTGATCTACAGTCAGGACAGCTTATGTGAGTTGAAGCCTGAAGAACAAGAAGGAACCAGCCTTGGGAAGATTTGGAGAGTGGGCCTGGCAGGGTCCAGCAATGGCAAAGGCCTGAGCGGGGAATGCTGCAGAACAGACAGGAGGCTAATGCAGAGGAGCCAGGCCTTCTGGGCCACACCGAGGACTTCAGCTTTCGTGAGGTGGGAGCCATGGAAGGGTTCAGAAAGAAAAGGGATCTAGCTGGACTTCGGGGGTGCAGAAGGGAGGCAAGCGTGGAAGCAGAGACCCATGGGGAGGCTACTGTAACAGTCCAGTGAGAGGAGCTGAGTGCTGGGACTCAGGTGGTAGCAGTGAATGGAGGGAGCAGTGGTTAGGCTCTGGATACATCTTTTCATCTTTTAAAACTTTTTATTGAAAATAAATATACGTCATAAGTGTACAGCTCAATAATTTTCACGAAGTGAATATATCTTTGTCATGAGCACTCAGATCAAGAAACACAGACCTGTGTTAACTTTTAAGGACAAAGCTGACAGGGTTTACTGTGGGACCAAATGTGGAGAGGAAGAGTAAAGAGGATCCCACGGTTTTCACTCGAGCAAGTGGAAGAATGAAGCGCTCTTGCTTGAGATGGGGGAAGACTGAATCTAGAGTTGAGTATTGGATATTTTGAGTTGAAGATGCCTTTTAATATCTAAGGGAGAATGCCAAGCAGGAAGTTAAATGCATGGGTCTGGAGTTCAGGAGAATGTTCTGAGCTGGAAATAAGCTACTTTCAGGGTGATTCTGTCCTGACTTGGATACACAAGATTGTTGTAGACCACAAGAGCTGCACCCATTTGAGGAGCTATTATGAGGAATGGATTGGCAGGCTGGATCAGGGACTTGGTGCTGACCTCTGATTTCTTCTGCCAGCCTCCCTCTGCCTGCTGACCCTGCTGCTACCAGCCCTCGGTCCAGGGGCCCCTATTTCCCCAGCTGAGCCCATCAGTCAGGCCTATAGCCTGGCCCTCTACATGCAGAAGAATACATCAACACTGCTGCAGACTTATGTGAGTGACACTGGGCATGAGCATGAGATGAGGGGAAAGGGACACTGCCTTCCTGGCCTAGCTCTGGGTAGGGGAAACAGAGCAAGGCCAGGAGAAAGCTCCTCCATGGGTTGGAGAGTACAGGGGTTTTGTTAACTAGAGACATACCCACATGAACGCCGTCATTGATGGTTGGAAATGTTGGGCAAGTCATTCTTTTTCTCTGTCTCAGCTTCCTCATCTGCAAAATAGGATGGTGCTCCTGCCTTTGCTGACCTCTCAGGCCTGTTACAAGATTCAAAGGAAGCGTGCAGAGGAAGACCCTTTACAAGGTCATAATTATTTCCACAACCACTTTGTGTTGTGTGCCTTATGCCATGCTGGGCACTCTATCCTCCTTATCTTAGTGACTCCTCAAAAAGTTCTGAGAGATGGAATTATAATCCACTCTACAGATAAGAAAATTGAGTCTGAGAGAGGGTGAATAATTTGCCTGATGTCACACAGCTAATAACTGGCAGTGCCAGGATCTTAAACCAGGTCTGTGGCATTTGATGCCAATTCCTCCCATATCACCCAACTGTCCAAAAGTTTTAACTGGCAGCCTGTGAGCCATGTCTCACTCACAGATGTTTTCTGTTTGGGCCATACAGTGCTTGTTCAAATTCTTAATATGAATGCCTGTCTAAAACAGGCACAAGGATCCTGTTGACCAAAGCTTCTGCTTTCTCCCGCCCATCTTAGTCCTGCTTACTTCCCTGAGTTACATGATCTGGTCCCTGAACCTCTGGAGTTTGCAACTCTTCCACTGGACTATCTTCCAGGCTCATGTGAGGTTACTAAATCTAGTTTCTAGTCCCATAACTGCCACCATTCCCTGCGAAGCTTTAGGCACCCTGAGATCATTTCTCCCACTGTAAAATGGGGATGTAAGACTAGGTGATTTATCTGTGTACACTAAGATTCTGTGGGTCTAGGTTTGTGGAGGTTAAGAATTTTAATGGAGAAGGCAGTCAACTAAATTTAATACTATTAACAATTATTTATCAATGATTACATTGAAATTAACAAACTACTAAATGCTGTAAATAACAAAGAAATATATAGGGCTGTAACTACATTGTCAATAATATATTTAGACTGAAAATATAATAAATAATATAATCATAGTGTTCATGATATTAATATATTATTAATGGTGGCTTATTATGACTTTATTGTATGACAGGTGCTGTGTGTTAAGCACTTTATGTATGTTACTTCGTATCTTCACAATTAATACTGCCACATGAGAATTATTAAAGCTGTGATTCAAAATTGTACATGGAGGAAGCTAAATTGGAACCTAATAGAGCCCAAGCTCTGTGCTAGGACATCCCACCAACTCTCTGAGGGGTAGTGAATGAAAACGCCCCCTGGGAATATGCCGGTCTCACAGAAGGCAGATGTGAAATCACAGGAAGCCTCAGAGTACCCTTTCAGTCTCCTTACTCCTGTCTCTGTCCCTTATGCAGCTCCAGTACCAAGGCAGTCCTTTTTGTGACCCTGGCTTCTCAGCCCCTGAGCTCCAGCTCAGCAGCTTGCCTCCTGCCGCTGTCTCCTTCAAGACCTGGCATGCCTTGGATGATGGGGAGCGGCTGAGCCGTGCCCAGGGGGCCTTCCTGGCCTTGACCCAGCATCTCCAGCTTGTGGGGGATGACCAGAGCGACCTGAACCCTAGCAGTCCTATCCTGCTGGCTCAGCTCAGGGCTGCGAGACTCAGGGCCCAAGGCCTGTTGGGCAACATAGCTGCCATTATGACTTCCCTGGGCCTGCCCATCCCCCCAGAAGAGGATATTCTTGGGCTTGTCCCCTTTGAGGCCTCAGCCTTTGAGAGGAAATGTAGAGGCTATATAGTAACACGGGAATATAGGCACTGGACAGATCGAGCTGTTAGGGACTTGGCTCTGCTCAAGGCCAAATACCCTGGATAGAGGAGGTAGGACTTCCTGTCAGAGGCTGCAACACTTCTGTCATAATGGACTCTTTTCTGCCTCGCTTCTTGGCTAGAAAGGACACTCATCTTGTCTAGCAGACAGGGCTGTGTGCCATGTATTGGAAACATTTCCTAGGAACCAGGCCTCAACTCCATATTGCCTGGGCCTGCCTGCTTAAGTCCTATGGCCTCCTTTCCAGATCTGGGACTCCATGGATATCATTTCATGACTATGAATGTAGTGGTACTGGTTGCCTACTTCTTGGACGGAGAGAAATGCCTCTTTGAAGAGGCTTCACTTCCCACTCTACAGGAAGAGGACAGTTGGTTTCCTTCCTGGGCTCTCCGTGAGACCTTACCCTTGCTGTAATTTTTGGAAAGGTCAAGAAGCTGCCTTCTTGTCTCTGTCTACCTCACTTTTTATATGAAGATATGGACTTTGGAGCAGATAGGCCTCTCTTCTTGCTGGACTTCATCTCCTCCCCTAGTCCACTTCTTTGCCTCTGGCCACTGTTCTCACTTCCCATCTTAAGGGGCTTCACTTCTTGATCTATGGAAGTTCAATTCTTGAAAAACTAAGGATTCATGTCACATCTGTTTGCTGCTCAGGACACATCCACTTCCTGTTCTGAGCTAACAGATGGATTCCTGGCCTGGGACTCTCAGGAATCTCCTATTTATACTGTAGCTTTTAGGTATGCCTGGGGGATTGGGCTGTATCTCCTATTCTCTTCAAAGGAGTCTTCCCATTTTCAATAACTATATATACTGGTAACTTTAGTGTTCTTTTTATTTTTTAACATTTTATTTACAAAAAAATTAATTTATTCTCAGAAATAAAACTCTTTTAAGGTGTCAATTGTTTCTCCCCACAGACCTGGCTCGGGGGTGGGGTGGGGTGGGGTGGGGTGCAAGGATAGGGTGGAGGGAAGTGAGGGGAGGGAAAGAATATCAAAGGGAAAGGGGGCCCAAGGGATGAGATGGGGAAGGGAGAGAGCAGCAGGTGGAGTGACTCTGGGGGAAGGTGGCTGAAATCCGGAGTAGCCCTCCCACAGCAAGGCCAGGATGAAAGGACAGAGGGAGGGAGAGACAGAGGGAAACAGAGTGACAAGGTGTCCCCTCAGTGAGATGAGACTGAGATGTACACATGCTCACAAGGGGCCAAGAGGAGATAAGAGAGAGTGAAAAGAGAGACGAAGTGATCCCAAGAGACAGGTAAAGGGGGAGACCATGAGAGACGGACCGGCCCTAGCGATGGAGAAAAGAGGGGGAAAGCAAGAAAGAATATTATGGACATGGAATGTCACATACAGAGACAAGAAGGTTCCCGAAGGAGAGACTGAGGGCGTGTAAAGAAAATAGAGACGATGGAGACATTCCGAGCACAAACACTGACAGAGATGGAGAAAGACGAAGAGGAGGTGACAGAGAGCCTCAGGCCGCGCCTATGCTCAGGCCGGGCCCCCAGGCACCAGCTGGCTCAGGTCTGCCTCTGTGCGGCTCACCCACTCGCGGTAGAGGCCGCACACGCGGAGCCCCAGCACCTTGGCTGGGAAGACGCCCGCGGCGGTCGAGGCTGTGGC